AAAGACTGATCCCAAACTCACCAACCAGACCCGATCCATCTCTACAGGCCCAAATGAAGCTCTTGGATCATGGGCAAGCAAGTTTGGAGCAAGTGAACAGCAGCAAGGTCGTGAACGTGAGGCTCTCGGGGTTCAAAGCCTCCCCAACACACAGACAAGAGAACAGCTCATTACCTTGTCTGCGTGTTGCCGATCACCAGTGGAACATACTGTTTCTGTCTCCTTGGGCGTTTCTTTGATGTCTTTATGACACACATATACACATCTGCTTTCAAAACAGTTATCCAGAGGGAGGGTGGCACAGCCCAGCCCATGCAGGGTCCAGGAAGGAGAGGACCAGCCCTGTTGCCCGTGGCGATATACCTCCCCACCTCACTGTCCCTGACAAGGGACAGATGCTAATGAGAGTCTCATTGGCTCGGGGTTTGTTTTAATTGAACCAGATCTCAGATCTAACTTTACTGTGGCCTTCTGACGAACAGGGGAACAAAATCAATAAACATACCGAAAAATTGGGGCGTGTTATACGGCTAATTCAAATTTTATGTTATAATCACGCTTTAATGTGTCTTCTAATTGGGATAATTAAGCTGCCTGTGACAGTGTTGACTGGGACAGAAGCTGCCGCTGTGCCAAGATGATCCGCTGAAGGCTTTTTGCTGATTTCGGATGCTTTTTGTTATTTGGTTGGGGTGTTTCGAGGGTGGGAGTGCCTTGCTGTGGAAGGAAGATCCCAGAACTCTGGATCTTCCTAGACAAGCCTCAGGTCTAACGCAAGGGCTGACCAGGAGACTCTCCATGCTCCTGAGCCTCTGTCAGATGCTGGATGAACAGGAGCCGGGTTCCGTGATGGGCACTGAGAGGCGGAGTCAGCCATTGGATGTGGGAGATCCCAAGGATGGTGAGGACCATGGGCCTGACACCGAGAGTCTGAGTGGGCGTCCCAGAGGAGGCAGCTCCTCAGAGAAGCTCAGAGGACAGCCCAAGTCAGAGGAAGCTCATGGTAGCAGCTGTGAGGTTCCAGCCAACGTAGCAGCACTGTTCTGTGTTGGAGATGAAAAGGGTGGTGAGGATTGCCACAGAGAGGGACTGAGTGACCTGGACCATGGAGGTCATGGATGATATTCATGATGCTCGACACCTGCAGGTGAGGCTTCACATTTCTGAGGCTCATCTTCCCTCCTCCCTCACCCCCTCCTTCAACTCTCCACCCCCCCTTCTTACCCCTGTAAAATGATGCATTGGGTGCTCACTTTGTGCAAGTCTCAGGTGTCTACCCTTGGACTCCGCCCTGGTCCTTCTGTTACTGATCTTTTCAAAACACGCTCTGGCACCCTAGGTTAAGTGCCAGGTTACGGGTACCCCTTAGAACTCAGGCTGCCCATGGGGCGCCACCACTCCCACAGCACCTTACTATGTTCTGGGCCTGTGATGTTGCAGCTCTCTGGATCTGTGTGTTAAATATTCGGTCACTCATCCATCCCATAGTCATCCTCTCGTGGGGCCCTCAGCAGCTGACCTTGAAGCAAGGATTGGGGTGCAAGGGTGAAATAGAGAAGTGAGCCTGGGAAAGAGAGAGCAGCCATAAAGAGCATCACCCCCATTCTGTCTGGGGCTCCACACTCCCGGGCTGTGCAAGCAGAGTCCTGAAGCACTGTGGCCTCAAGGTCATTCCTAGTAGGCAAGAGATTTGGGGATCTGCATGTGCAGTACCGGCTTCTACCAGTCCCCAATCCCTTAACAGCTGCTGGGTGTCATGAGGTGACTTCCCAGACATCTGGGCTGCCACGCTGTCGGGGATGCAGATGTGAATAGCTAGGGGCCAGTCACTGAGGTACGAAGGACTTATTGACACAGGACAGGCTGTGGGCTGCAGTGTTCACATTGCATTTGACACATCTGTGCACACAGCATCTGAAGCTCACCTTCTGGCCCATGCCTGTCCAGTGAGTGACCGACCACTCCCGTCCTGCCCTGTGACTATCCCCGACCTCTTATCATTGACATGTAATCTACATTTGTATCCCTCACGTATCGGTGTGTGCAGACTTCAAGGTTTCAGGCTTCTTGTCTGACTCTTGCAGAGACAGGCTCCCCAGGGACAGCAAGCAAGCTGGACAGTCTGCATTCCCCACACCGGAGCTTCAGATGAGGTCTGAACAGCTCCCGAGGCCTGAGCTATCACAGGCCAGGCTGCCCATAGCTGTCCTGGCTTCTGCCCAGGGCTGCGGGGAGTTCATGCAGCAGCAGCTAGGCCGGTAGCCAGGTTGCACTGCTCTGACAGGTGCACAGGAGGGCCAGGTGGCTGACACCAGGTAGGCCCCTCCTTCCTGGAGAAAGAAGATGCAGCTGTCTCCAGGTTGACCCTGTGAGACACTCAGCCATGTGTGACTCTCCACCTTTTCCGGCCCACAGGGACCGACTGGGAGATGTATTGACTTTGTCGATCCCGGGGCTAACCCTGACGGTGAGCTGGTGTCCGTACTATTTGACTGGTATGCAGGGTACATTGAAGTAGATGGAGCTCTGCCTGCACAGAGACACGCTACTCTAGTGAAACTATGTTTATCTGTGTAGCCCTGGCTGTCCTGGAACTCGCTCTGCAGACCAGACTGGCCTCAAACTCAGACATCTGCCTGCTTCTGTCTCCTGAGCGCTGGGATTACAGGTGTGCGTCACTATGTCCGACTTCATCTTTTTTTTTTTAAATAGGTGGTGAAACTGAGGCTCTAAGGAAGAGTCCCAAGTGGCAGTCCCCTGAAGGGCCAGGCTCTGAGGCCTCCACTTGGCAAGTCCAGCTGCTCTGGGTTGGAATAGGAACAAGACTTCCAGAGATCCAGGGCACTGCACGCAGCTGCTGTTATTGATGGATACTCACGGGTAATGAACTTCAGTGACCCAAGTAATTCCAGGTGAGGTTGAAAGTGTAAATAGGATCCTCATTAATATAGAGCAAAGTTCTCTACTATACAAATGACCAGAAAAGGCATTGGCCAAGCATATCTCTAAAATTTTTATTTATTTATTCATTTAACTTTCAGGAAAATAAACATTTCAGAGTGTTTCTAAAACACACAGAACAAGAGAAAGCAAAGCCAGACCCAGTTCTCCAAATGTATACAAGTACAGCTGTCTTGGTGTGTATGAACATCACTACACACACGTATAGGGTGAGCCTGTCCCACTGAATAGGACCTGTAGGAGAGTGTATGGACCCAGGACCTGTCCTCAAGTGGTCACCCGTAGGAAGCAAGAACATGTTGCTGTTTGTCTTTGTTCTTTTAGGGAGCCCGCTACCCAGCTCCCAAATAAATACACATGGAGGCTTATTCTTGATTATTAATGCCTGCTCTTTCTTCTTTCCTCCCAGATTTCTCCTTCTATTCATTCTCTCTGCCTGCCAGCCCTGCTCATCCTCTCTCCTGCCTTGCTATTGGCCGTTCAGCTCTTTATTAGACCATCAGGTGTTTTAGACAGGCACAGTAACACAGCTTCACAGAGTTAAATAAATGCAACATAAACAAAAGTAACACACTTTAAAATAACAGTCTACAACAAGGACAGTTGAAGGTGCACAAGATACATCATGTTGATCAGATACAGGAAAGATACAAGCTTTACCTGTCATGGCAGTCTTGTGAAACTCTAAAACTCCACCCGGGGAGTCTTAAAAAGAGCAAAAGAGGAGAAACTGCTTCTAAATAACCATGTGCTTTTGTTTTGCAAGTTATCCCCCCCCAACCCACACAGATGTAAAGAGAATACATTGAAGGGGCAGAAGAATGTGATGGGAAGGGTGAGTAAGAGAATTGAGAGCCAGAAACACTTGCCACAGACCAGGGTTCTGAGAGCCAACTCTCTCCCCTCCCCTCTCCTCTTCTCCTCATCCTCCTTCCCTTCTCCTCTCCTCTCCCTTCTTCCTCCTGCTCTGGGACTTGACCTAGCATCTGACACATGCTAGGCAAGCATCCATCCACTGAGCTGTCTGCCCCAGCTCTGGAAGTTTCTTGAGCTGGGGATTTCCTGGAGCCTTTGGTTCAGTGCAGACTCAGGCAATGCTCAGTCAGCTGCACTGACCGGAGGGAGCTCATGTTATCTGATGCATAGAGTGAGGACATGTGCAGACAGTCATGGGGCTCCTGGACCCTCTTCTACCCCAGACCCCTTTAAAGTCCCAGTTGGAATTTATTTCCCGTCGCATGGCCACTGTCTACAGAGACTGCTCATCAAAGCCGCGAGGGATACAATGAATCAGACCTTGGGACCCGTGCCTGAAGCCCGGCTTGTATTCTAAAAGTGGCAGATACTGCTTGATTGCGGTTGTGCACCCCGTGTGTGTGGCCGTCCCATTGTTTCAGTGTCGTTTAATAGAGGGTTGTCCCTTCTCTATTGATCTGTCTTGGTGATTTTGTTGCAGATCAATGGGCTGTAAACTGCTGGTCTATTTCACTACTCCTCAACTCTATCTTATTCTGTCGATACACATTGTGTTTAGGCCACTATCACATGGGGTCTTGCTGCCCGTGACCTCATCTTACAGTCCAGAACACTAAACCCATTCATTTTGTTCTTTTGTCAAAACAGTTTCACGTGAGGCTCCATCTCAAGCACCACAGAAATATTCTTAACCCTCTATGTCCTTTGTCTTCCATATCAATTATACAAATTTCAACAGGCAAAGAGTCAATGAAGTCTCTACTGGGGATACATGGAGCCTGTGGCTTGATGTTCAGGGCCCTGGGTAGTTTTTCTAACTAGCATGTTAGTTCTACAGTCCCACTCTTCCTCCACCTCCAAGGCCATCGGCGCCTCCTCTGGCTCGTTTGCGTTCAGGACAGAGTTTGGCACCTTTTGCTGATTTTTCGCCAAAAACTGGTTTTATTTCCATGGATTCTGTTTCCTTTCCTTTCTCCTTCCTTCCTTCCTTCCTTCCTTCCTTCCTCCCTTCCTTCCTCCCTTCCTCCCTCTCTTCCTCCCTCCCTCCCTCCCTCCCTCCCTCCCTCCCTCCCTCCCTCCCTCTCTCCTTTCCTTCCTTCTTTTTAAGTATTTTCTTTCTCTGAGTGACCTTGGGTTTAATCGGATCTCCATGTTCTCAGTCTGTAAAGGTGCAAACTGCCTCACCACCTCAAGAACTTCCTCCCTTTCTAATGCGCCACAACACTGGACGCCAACAAGTTCTGGTCCAGCCTTGGTTTCCAAAAACAGGAATTTTCTAGATGTCTGTTCTTGCTTTTTGATTTCACTCCACTGTGGTTAGACACTATGCTTTGCAGTATTAAATCATATTTACTGAGACTTGTTTGATGGCCCAGAAAATGATCTCTATTGGTAAAATATTCCATGTGTACTTGAAAAATAAGTATTCTGCTGGTGTTTGGTCTGCCATTCCATAAATGTCAATTAGGCCCATTTGGTTGATTGTGTTTCTCAGCTCCCAATACCCGTATTGATTTTATGTCTGCCGGTCTATTAATGATTGGGCTAGGGGGACTGAAATCTCGGGTTGTAATTGTGGGCTTGTCTGTGTTTGATTTAGTTCTATCAGTTGTTGGTTCTCATATTTTGAAGTTTTGTGATAGATAAATACATATTTACAATTGTTACATCCTTTCAATGAATTTACCCCTTTATCACCGTGGAATGACCCTCATTATCCCGAGGAGGGTTCTCCAGCCTGAAATCAACATTGTTAGGATATGATCTGTTCTCCCAAACCACAGGGATGAAGTTATCAAAAGTGTCTAGATTGGTAAAGTTGATAAGCACATTTTGGTTAAGGTTGGTGATGCTGGCAATGATGGCGATGATGGTGGTGGTAATGATGGTGATGGTGATAATTGTGGTGGTGGTGATGGTGATTGTGGTGGTGATGATGTGGTCATTAATGGTAATGATGGTGATTGGTGGTGATGGTGGTGATGATGATAGTGATGGTGATGGTGGTGATGGCGGTGATGGTGGTGATGGTGATGATGATAGTGATGGTGGTGATGGCGGTGATGGTGGTGATGGTGGTGATGGCGGTGATGGTGATGGTTATTATGGTGGTTGCTGTGGAATGTCTTTCTGTATGCTGTGAATGTAAGTGGTTCCCACTGGATAATAAATAAAGCTGCCCTGGCCTATGGCAGGACAGGATGGAGCCAGATGGGAAAATCCAAAAGAGATAGTGAGAGAAGAAAGGAGAGTGGAGGGAGGCGCCAACCCGCTGTCCAAGGAGCAGCATGTGATAGAGCACAGGTAAAGCCACGGAACACGTGATGCATGGATTAATAAAACTGGGTTGAATTCAGTTATAAGAGCTAGCTAGCATGAAGTCTGAGCCATAGGCCATAAGTTTGTAATTAATATTAAGCTTCTGAGTAATTATTTTATAAGTGGCTGCAGGTCCATGGGTGGGAGAGATTTGTCTGGACCTTGGGGCCGGCGGGGCCAGAGAAACTTCCCTCCACAGGTGGTGATGGTGATGATGGTGATGGTGGTGGTGGTGGTGATGATGGTTGTGGTAATGATGGTGATTATGGTAGTGATGGTGATAAAGGTGATGATGGTGGTGATGGTGGTGATGATGATGATGATGATGGTGGTGGTGGTGATGGTGATGGTGGTAATGATGGTGGTGATGGTGATGATGTTGATGGTGGTGATGGTGATTGTGGTAATGATGGTGATTATGGTAGTGATGGTGATAAAGGTGATGATGGTGGTGATGATGATGATGGTAGTGATGGTGGTGGTGATGGTGGTGATGATGATGGTGGTGGTGATGGTGATAGTGGTGGTGATGGTGGTGGTGGTGATGATGATGGTGATGATGGTGGTGGTGGTGGTAAGGAACATAACGGACATTGGTGAACTGTTTCTGTCTTCCAGGAGCTGATAAGTCTACTTCAGCTACTGACATAGAAATACAGACACTAAACTTGAATCTGAAATGTCCCATAAGTCTTGTATTTCAAGCACCAGGTCCCCAGATAGTGGTGCCGTTTGGGGAGGCTGCAGCACGTTGCTGGGCTGGCTGGCAGCTGTGGACTCTCAGAGGCACCATTGAAGGCTGTGCCCGCCTGTGTTCTGGACTAGCTCTACACTTCCTAGCACCCAAGATGGAAGAGCCACCTTCTCAATCTCCCTTTGCTGTGGCTGGAGCAGCCCAGATGGAAGGCTTCACAACCCTCCGCCCTCCGGGCGTGTGCACCAGCTTCTTCACATTGAAGTCGTTCTCTGTCCTGAAAAGGGGACGGCACTTCCCGTCCGTTGCCCACTAATCCCACCTCCATATTGTTTGAGCCCCCAGTGGTGTGAGGACTTGGGTTTTGTCAGGCCGGCTGATTGACAGCTGTGGTTAACCTGAAGAAAACTGTTCAGTGGGGGCATTCCCACTCCATATCTACAGGTGTGGGGCTGAAACATGGAGATGAGGGGCTACAGAGGCTGGATTCCAGTTCACACGACTTGAGCAAGCCTGGGGAGCTGAGTGGCTACATCACTTTCTCCCTGGAGTTAAGTTCATCTCTGGTCTTCTCCCCTGAGGCCAGTGATGTGACCAGATTTCAGATTTGGTTCTGCTTTCTCCCTGTCATGGTGAGGAATGACCAGGCCTCCAGAGTTCCTGCCTAGATGTGGCTGTGGAGAAAGGGCCCCGCACAGCCCTGCCTCTGTGGAAGTGGTGTAGAGAACAGCTCGACTTCTCAGGTGAGTCAGAGCCCTGCATGTTTATTCCCGGATTGGTATTCAGACCCAGGGCTCTGGCTTCTACTTAACACAACCTCTGTAAATTGCAAGTTAGGCCTGTCTGAGTCTGTGGCTACACTACTGTTGCACAGAACCCCCTTTTCAGATTGCTGAAGAAAAAAAAAAGGGAATAAAAGCACATGACTATGTGTTCCTGTTCTTCAAATGCCACTTCTCTGAGGACACATTTATTCAGCAGCACATCCTGCCACCCTAAACCCCTGAGCCACCCCCAAAGCCCCTGCAGAGCAGGGCAGGCTCTGCTTTCTAAACAGCTGCCTGCAATCCCAGGCTGGGCTCTTGATCGGGTTCTCTCCAGTCTCTGGGAAGCATGAGAAGAATAATGCTGGGAGAGTGCTGGGAAAGGCACATTTATTCACCATAAAGGGCTCTCCTGGATCCGGCCATCCTAATTCCCGGCTGTCTTTACGTGCTCAGTGTCCTTTATGAGGCGGTGCTCCGCAGAAGTGAACACCCTTTTTAAATAAAATATCTTATTTGGCAAAACAGAAACCAGACCGTGCTCCATCCATCAGTCAATCAGACAGTTGGTCAGTCAGTCAATTTCTCTCTCTTTCTCCTCTTCCCTCCCTCCCTCTCTCCTTATACCCAGACATGTACAATGTACACACACACACATATATACATATATATATTCATGCATACATACACACATACACACATGTACATATACATGATAGATAGATACATACATACATTCATGTATACATACATACATACATTCATGCATACATACATACATTCATGCATACATGCATACATACATACATACATTCATGCATACATTTTTAACTTATAAGTGATGTTGAGACAGCCAAGAGTCACTGACCTGGTGTCAGGGTCACGGGGAAGAGGAAACACCATGCACTCCCTCTGAACTGTCACAGGGTCTGTTTGTGAGTTAGCGTCACCCCTGCTGTTTTGGTACCATTTGCTCTTGGGTAACAGTAATAATGACAAGGACTTCTGCAGCAGAGATACTCACAGGGGATGTCTGTGCCAAACATGCCCGGATCCTCCCGCTCCAACTGTATTTGACCTCTGCAATCCCATGGGTACCATGGTGATGGCTGTGGACTGTGTCCAGGGCTGAGTACAAAGAGGCCGCTGGCTTTCCATCAACGACAGGGCTGGGGGACGGGGAGAAGCCGAGGTGAGAGCCTGGGCTTCAGCTCCACCCTAGTGTCACACCAGCCTCACCCTCAAGCCTCTGAATTTCTTCATCAGGCAAATAACTGGTGAGGGCTGGAGAGGCGGCTCTGAGTAAGAACACCTTGATGTTCCTGCAGGGATTCCTGGATTCAGTTCCCAGCACCCACGCGGCAGCTCACAACTGTCTGTAACTCCAGGTCCAGGGGGATCCAACTCCCTCTTCTGACCTCCATGGGCACCAGGCACACCCATGGTACACAGACATACATGAAGGCAAAACACCCACATATAGATATTTTTTGTTTGAGAAAAGAAAAAGACAAAACTAGCTGGTGGAATTTGCTTGGAGCCCAGTACTTAAAAGACAGAGATGGGGGATCAGGAGTTGAGGCCAGCCTGGGTGACTTGGCAAGGGCCTGTCCCGAGTGAGCTAACAATCAGAATTTGGCCTGTGGGGGATAAAATAATGTGGAAAACTGGGATGTGTGGCTCAGCCACGGGGTATGCCTGATGGGCACAAGTTTTTATTTTACTCATTCTTCCAGGCAATTTTCCCTCAAGACTTCTCAGAGGAAGCAGGTTAGCTGAGAAGTCTGAAGGGTCTGGAATTAATCCTGGCTGCCTCTCTCTGCTGGGAAGCCCTAGGTAAGCTGCTCCCTCTCTGTGCTTACCTACGGCTGAACCGAGGGACTTGGCTGCTACGGAGGAGGCTGACGTTCCTCTTCTGACCACCATGCCTGGATTCCGTGTCTCTGGTTCTCCCCTCCTGGACAGGATCCATTGCTCACCGCAGCGGTGTGTGACTCGGAGTTCCTGCCCTACGCCTGGTCGGGCTGTTTCCCTCCAGGGCTGAGCTGCCGGCCGGCTTGGCCAAGCCGCTGTGCCAACCTCCACGAAGGGAGGCCCGGCCAGCCACAGAGGAGTGTTCATGAGCGCTGAGTTAAACTCCATTTCCTTTAGCAGAGGGAGCCTTGCCCGCCTGGGCCAGGTGCCAGGCCAGAGTGCAGCTGGCAGAGAGCTGCACGGCCACACCTGCTCCTAATGCCTACAGTGTGCAGCCATGCGTGGAGCCAGACTTCTGCTGCCAGCGCCGAGGGCGTCCACTCTGAAGCCCATTGTGCCGTCGGGCAGAATGAAGCTCGGCTTGACAAGACGCCTCTGAACGATGCCAACATCCGAGGCCGGACTCGGGCCGCTTCTCCCATCTTTCCTTTCATGCATTTTTTTGTTTCTTCCCCGTCCTCTTGGGAACTCAACGCTCACCAAGGGCATTTGGGCTCCGGAGACGGCGCAGTGTGGTTCTCGTGCAAGCTTGAGGACCTGAGTTCAAGACCCAGAACTGGTGTGAAGAGAAGACGGGTGTGGCCGCATGCACCGGGGACCGCAGGGCTGGGGAAGTGGAGACAGGAGGATCCATGGGGCGCCCTGGCCAGTCAGTCTCGCCTAATTGCCTGGAGCGGCAAAGACCCTGTCTCAACCAAGTAAGGTGGATCTGGGCACGGTGCACACATCTTAAACCCCAGCACGCAGGGAGCCGAGATGAGAGGATCAGCCTGGGCTACAAAGTAAGACTCGGTCTCAACAAACAAACAAACACCCAATCAGACAAGTGAGCGAAACCCTGAAAGACACCCAAGGAACAAATGACGTCATATCTCAAGAGTAAATGATGATGTCATATCTGAGAAATAAATGATGTCATACCTGAGGAATCAATTATATGATACCTGAGGTTGTCCTCTGGCCTACACACACACACACACACACACACACACACACACACACACACACACACACACTCACTCACACATATTCATACACACATACATATTTATACTCATGCAAGCACACATACACCCACTCACACATACATACACACATTCACATACTCACACATGCACATGCTTACATGGACACACTCACACAGATACTCACACATGCACACACACTGACACGTGCACACATACATACACATAGTCACACATGCACATGCAGACACATAGGCGCGCGCGCGCGCGCGCGCACACACACACACGCACGCAAAGGTACAGACAGAGAACCTCAACTACATACAGCTCAAAGCACCAACTGCTTCAACTGAAGCCCTAGGTGTGTGTGGCCAGGAGGTCAGGTTTTCAGAGGTGAGGTTTGGGGCTGCCTTGGTGTCCGCGGTGGCCCTTCAGAATCTGGAGATGGAATCACACCAAGACTGCTCCCCTGGTGGCTGCAGCCAATGGGCTGATCGTCCCCGGTGCCAGGCCTCAGGGCTCATTTGTCCCTTTGGAATAAGCTCAACCTGACCGAGGATCTTTCCCGCCTGCGGCCGGACAGATGGGGCGCATCTTGCGCTTTGATTGGCACAGCCACACGTGACCCAATGCCAGGGACAAACCGAGAAGCGTGTCACCAGGCATCCTCATCATGGCGTGAACATCACAGCGTGATGCGAGGTTGTGGGGTCGTCGGGTCCCCACAGCTTGAGCAGTCTGTGGTGGACTGAGATATTGGAAGCGCAGGGATGGAAGGACCTGGCTGTCCCAGGCCTCGCCCTCCGTGTGCCCTTCCCTCACCCACCGTGACATCGGGGCTCTGGGAGAGTGACTTCCTGCTGGTCCCGGGACATGCAGCCTGGTTGTGTTCCAAAGCACACAGACACCGGCAGGTTCTGCTGTGACCCAGCGACCTCACCGGAAGTGCCTCACGCTCGCTCATGGTGTTCTCCGGGCTGGGCAGCTCCTAGGGCTGGAGGTACCGCGCAATCTGGGAGCCATCTGTGGTATCAACCCTACAAACACGTGTGTGGCCCTGGCAGCAGGGGCCCTGGCAGCCTCGCAGCTGAAGACACCTGTCCTCCTGTCGGAGGAGGCCGGAGCTGGAGGCCTTCCAGGGCCCCGAGGACTCCATCAGCTCTTGCCAGCTTAGGAAACCAGAGCCCGGGGCTCCCTCCGTCCCTCTGCGCTCCAGCCTGTGCTCTGGTTCTTGGTATTTGAGGCCAAAAATAAGGAGATTTTTTTTCCCCTTTGTTGTTCAAACATTTGACATTTTCCGCTGAAGTACGAGGTTTTCCGTGAAGCACGAGGTTTTCCGTGCGGTAGGTTCTGTTGCAGACACACAAAATCTGCCTGGAGAATTCACCGCCAAGGCTTTGATCCCGGAGTCCCTTTCTTCCTCCTTCCCCAGGGTGATCAGGGAGCTCTCTTCCCACCGCTGGGAAGGTGGGCCACACGGGGGCCTGGGGCTGCGCGCAAGCGTGGTGTTTAAGATAAATGTATCACGACACACCAGACACCTTCAAACAAGCCAGAAGACACAACCCGGAACGGTTATGGGAAACATAGGCTATGTACATAGGTACATGGAAACACAGGCTAATGATCAGAGCTGCTGAGATCTTGTGTCTGGGGCCTCCTTCCCAATGGGCTTTCGGTCCATCTGTCTGTCACCACGGTGCCCTCCGCGGCCACGTGTGAGATCACGCTGCGCTCTGCTAGAGTCCTGGTGCCAATCCCCGTTTGTTCTCTTGAGCGTGGACCCCTCTGTTCTTCACTGTCTCCCTCCCACTACATTCCCACTCCCTGTTCCTTCCTCTTTTCTTTTCATTTTTCTTTCTCTCTCCCTCCTTTCCTTCCTTCTATTCCTCCATGCTTCCTCTCTTCCCCCTTCTCCTCCATCTTTCCTTCCTTCCTTTCTCTCTCTTTTTCTTCCTTCCTCTCTCTCTTTTCTTTCTTTCTTTCTTTCTTTTCTTTTTCTTTCTCTTTCTCTCTCTCTCTCTTTCTTTCTTTCTTCCTTCCTTCCTTCCTTCCTTCCTTTCTTTCTTTCTTTCTTTCTTTCTTTCTTTCTTCCTTCCTTCCTTTTAAAACTAATTTAGGCCGGGTGGTGGTGGCGCACGCCTTTAATCCCAGCGTTCGAGAGGCAGAGGCAGGCTGATCTCTGTGAGTTCGAGGCCAGCCTGGTCTACAGAGCGAGATCCAGGAAAGGCACCAAAGTTACAGAGAAACAATGTCTTGAAAAACCAAAAACCAAAAAAAAAGCTAAGTTAGTCTTACTTTTCACGGTAACTGCAGGTATTCACGGATGCCATCCCAGCACACTGAACTGACATGTCAGGACAGTCAACCAGGCTGCTGGTGTCCCCTGGCCCGATCCTTTCTTTGTGTCGGGAGCTCTCACAGTCCTCCGCACAGCTATTGGGAATATTCCATGGGCAGCTGCCAACCACAGCTGCCCTACTGTGTGCAGAAGGTCAGAAGTGAGCGCTCTGTGCAGATGCACCGTTCACCCTCCCCTTTGTACCCCCCACTCTGTGCGTGTCAGCGTGGGAGCCCGTGTGTACGTGGGTGTGGGAGCACGTGTGTGTATGTGGGTGTGGGAGCACGTGTGTATGTGGGTGTGGGAGCCCGTGTGTACGTGGGTGTGGGAGCACGTGTGTATGTGGGTGTGGGAGCCCATGTGTACGTGGGTGTGGGAGCACGTGTGTATGTGGGTGTGGGAGCACGTGTGTGTATGTGGGTGTGGGAGCACGTGTGTACGTGGGTGTGGGAGCACGTGTGTATGTGGATGTGGGAGCACGTGTGTACGTGGGTGTGGGAGCACGTGTGTGTATGTGGGTGTGGGAGCACGTGTGTACGTGGGTGTGGGAGCACGTGTGTATGTGGGTGTGGGAGCACGTGTGTGTATGTGGGTGTGGGAGCACGTGTGTGTATGTGGGTGTGGGAGCACGTGTGTGTATGTGGGTGTGGGAGCCCGTGTGTATGTGGGTGTGGGAGCACGTGTGTGTATGTGGGTGTGGGAGCACGTGTGTGTATGTGGGTGTGGGAGCCCGTGTGTACGTGGGTGTGGGAGCACGTGTGTACGTGGGTGTGGGAGCACGTGTGTATGTGGGTGTGGGAGCACGTGTGTGTATGTGGGTGTGGGAGCACGTGTGTACGTGGGTGTGGGAGCACGTGTGTATGTGGATGTGGGAGCTCGTGTGTATGTGGGTGTGGGAGCACATGTGTATGTGGGTGTGGGAGCACATGTGTGTATGTGGGTGTGGGAGCACATGTGTGTGGGTGTGGGAGCATGTGTGTGTGTGAGCATGTGTGTGTGTGTGTGTGTGTGTGTGAACACATTTGTGTGGGTGTGGGAGCACGTGTATATGTGGATGTGGGAGCCTGTGTGTACATGGGTGTGGGAGCACGTGTGTACGTGGGTGTGGAGTTCATCACGTGTGCTGGCTCCTGCCCACAGCTTCCAGTCTCCACAGCTCCCATGACTTGGCCGACACCTGTGCACCTGCACGTCACACCTGTGAGTGAAGCATCCAGGTGGGTGGGGCACAGAGGGCCCCCGGGGCCTGGACCAAGTAAAAAGAGTAAAAAAATTAAAATCCCTCATCTTGAGCGTTTAGCATCAACGTTTCATTATTTTGTGGGCTCCTCATACCCTGGTTTGGAGGTTGATGAAAGAGTGGTGTGCTTTTTTTTTTGTATGTATACATGTATGTGTACACACATGGGTTTGCGTGTGTTTGTGTTCACATGTGTGCCTGTGTGTGTTGGTGCATGTGCTCAGGTGTGTGGGTACATATGGATAGGTGTGTGCTGGTGCATGTGTGTACACACCTGTGTGCTGGTATATGTGCATGTGGCCGTGTGTGTGAATGCAGGTGTGTGCTGGTGCATGTGTGTGGTGGGTGTGCATGTGTGTGCGTATTTGTGTGGAGCTGAGAGGATGACCTCTGACATTGCTCCCTAGGTACCCCCCACCCCCCCGCTGCCTTTCTGACTTGGCTGAGACTCGATGACTCGGTTGAGCTGGTAGGCCAGTGAACCTCAGGGAATCCCCATCTCTGCCCACTCAGCTCTGGGACAACAAACACGTCACTGTACATGGATGTTCAACAAACACGTCACTGTACATGGATGTTCAAACGTAGGTTCTGGGAATTCAGCTCAGGCCTCACTCCTGCAAAGCGGGCACTTTGCCCTCTGAGCACCCCGGACAGCCCTCAGCTCGTGGCCTGCAGAGTCTCCGCATCAAGGTGTTGTTGGCAAATGTTTACCAAACGCCCATTCCTCCTCCTCCTTCTTCTCCAGGTCCTGGGGGAGTCATGGCTCAGAGGTGAATGTGAGAGAGAGGCTGCTCCATCTCTGCATTCCAGAGTCATTCATTCATTCACTCTTCGTTCATTCACTCATTCGTTAGGCTCCTGCCCCCGCCCCTGCCTCTGTGGTAGACACCGAGGCTACCATCACAAATGACAGTGGCTGTTCATCCATGCTTGGCCGGTGGCCCCTGAGCACCCACTGTGTGCCGGACAGTCCAGCTCACCCTTCCCTCCTCCCACGCCTGCCGGCAGAAGCTCACACATGCCTGAGGCTGGGGACACAGAGTTTAAAGACAGACACAGCCTCTGCTCTTGGGCATCTTACAAAGTCACTCCTGTGCTGGGGGCCTTGGAGAATGGAGACATCTACAAGAGAGAGGCCACTGCGAGGGGTGGGACAGACAGACAGACAGACGACAGGTTCTGCTCCCACCCCCACCCGAGAGCTGCCGGGGTAGGAGGCATGGGAGCAAACTGCATCCCCAGCTACCCGGAGTTGGGCCTCAGGGTTTTCCTCATGGGTAGCTTCCCTCCTCCCTCCTCTGCTCCTGCAGGAGGAGAAGAGCCCGGTTCTGCTCCCTCTCTGGCCCGGGGCAGCTCTTCTCTCTCTGAGCAGCTCTGTCACAGCACGAGGCAAGGCTGTTTCCACTTGGAAGCACTGTCAGGACGGATACCCTTCATCGCTCCTCTCGGAATCACGGTGGTGACATGTGGCCAAGGGGCCTGTGCATCTCAGCCCGGCCCCGGCTTGTCTCCCTCTGGACTGCAGCACATAACCAGCTAGGCGGTGTCTCCCTGGTGGCTGCAGCTCTGTGGCCTGTTCTCCTGCAGGGCTCTGGCTCCCAGCCACCTTCTGGGGATTCCTCAGTTTACCGCTTTTGCTGGAGATGGAACCAGCTTGTAGGAGAAGGGGGAAGGGGAGGGGGAGGGAGGGATAGAGGGAGAGAGAGAGAGAGAGAGAGAGAGAGAGAGAGAGAGAGAGAAGAAGGGAGAGGGAGAGAGGGAGGGAGAGAACATTTGTGCAAAGACTGCAGCTTTTCATAAAATAGGTTTTTAGCTTTTAAGTCAAGGGGGTGGGATGCAGCTGTGAACAGTGTAACTGTTAGGGAGAGCCCTCTGGAGATGACCACTCAGACACAGCTTACAGCCAATTGCAAGTCTTTATTCCAGCCAGCTGGGACTACACTCAGGTATTCAGGGACCCAGTGTAGCCCAGAGCATTGAGACCAAGGGGTTTCTTCTAAAGGCGAAAGCCGCATCCTGACGTCTCTCTCGGCAGCTGCAGGGGAGGTTTGCAGGAGCAGCGGGCTGGTGAACGGAAGCTAAGTTAGCTGGGGCATCTGGCCCTGAGTCCTAGAATAGACTTGGGTAATTTTCCATGGGATTCTCCATCCAGGAGATCAAATGAAGCCTGAAATGTCCCCAGCAAGAATACAAAGTGAACACAAACCTAACCCTGTGGCAGCGTTTCTGCTGTTTGTTTAAAGGCCACTCGGGTTCCAGCCCTGGGAGAGAGACTGTCTGGAACAGAGGCCAACACGGTTACCATGCTGAGGCACAGCCAGGGTCAGTCAGAATGATTCCAAATAGCAGTCAACCCCACTCACCCTCCCTCCCTCCCTCTGTCCCTCTGTCCCCACCCCACCCCCACCTCTGTCCCTCTGTCTATCTGTATTTACTGAGTAGCTTTGCCCTCCTGGCACCTGTATCTAATCAACACTCAGAGCCAAAGGCTCCCACCCTTGTGAATCCTACAGTCTCGGAGAGAGGGCAAATTATAAATTACCCAGCTGAGGGGGGTGGTGACATGGGCCTATCACTCCAGCATGCAGGAGGCTGAGGCAGGAGGAGCTAAGGCCAGCCTGGGATACAGAGTGATTTCAAAGCCAGCCAATTAAAAAAAAAAATAGGAAAGAAGGGAAGGGATGCAGATTGGTGTGAGGAGGTCACACAGGGTGTGAGAGGCTGGTGGACTCCATCTCTGGATCCACAGAAGGAAAGAGAAGAGCAGAAAACAGCAAGGATTGGCCTCACAGGGGAGAGACTGTGAGCTGTGGGCACTGTGGGGTGTCAAGCAAGTGGAACTGGGCAGCTTGGGAAAGACAGATGGTTCGGGTGGACACGTATCCCTCTGGGACACAGTCACGGGGACACAGGGAGATGGTCAGGCCAAGGAACAGCAGGACAGGGAGGTACTGTTCAGTTGTTGTGGAGCATTAATTAGCAAGAGCATGGGAATGTGGAAGTGAGGAAGGAGATGGGTGGGGCCACCGCATCCGTGATGAGAACCTGCCCCCACCCCCCAGCTCTGCAGATGAGCCTGTGGGGTACCGTGCATACCCGATACCGGGGAGCGCTGGGCCGCTCCACACATGCTCTGTAGCCGCCATGGTCAGTTCTGCAAGGCAGCAGAATGTCCTAAAGGGACCTCCACACTGGAAGCCGTTGCTGGAAAATTCTGACGCTGAGCCGTGTGGAGGAGGACGGTGCCTGGAGCGACCTATTCTTGCCTTAGAATGCAGAGCTCGCCGGAGCCAGTTTTCCTGGGCTGCTGTAGTAACCGGCCTGGATGGAGAGCAATGGAAGGAAGGCCTGCAGGAGTTGAGTGGACGCCACCGCTGTCCCATTGTCGGGAGCCGGGGAGATGGATGGCGTGACCTTGCGGAGGAAGCCTCCGCTCGGGTTTATTAAAGTCTGTGCTGTTGCTCCATGACGCACAAAGCTGACTCGTGTAAAGGAAATAAAATCAAGGGAGAAACACACCGCTGAGCCGCTCACTGCCGGAGGCTACATGTCTGGATGCAGATGCCTGTTAAGCGGCAAGGGTGGAGAGACACCGATGTTCCGAAAATTGTTTATGACTTCGGTGGCAATAACTGTGCTTCTGAGATTCCTCCTCCACAGAATAATCTTAACTAGGAAATAAGAGCTTTATGGATAGGGGCAGGCTTGCTGTCTCGTCACCCGTAAGAGGCTAAGAATGAAGGGTGTCCTAACCGCCTGGTTCCAGGCAGTGGAATATTACGTTGCCATTAAAAGTGACGACAACAAAGGGTGCGTGCCAACCAGGACGTGGCTTATACCAGCTGAGCGCTGAGAGGTTGTGCTCACGTGCGGGACGGAAGTCTCACAGACCGGAGGACACTTAGCCACGCGTTCATCCCACAGCGCTGTCGGTGCGTTCTTCTCTCACGTACACAGCTGTTTCCAGTGTGGACCACATTACCCCTGCTTCCTCTCATCTTCATGAGTCTTTGCAACATGGAGAAATGTGTGGGCGTTTCCAACAGAAACTCACTCCTGGGGGTGGTGTATATGCACGTGTATATCTGTGTGTGTGTCTGTATGTGTGTGTCTGTGTCTTCTGTGTGCATGTGTGCATCTGTGTCTGTCTATGTGTGTGTGTGTGTGTTTCTATGTGTGTGCATCTATGTATGTGTGCATATCTGTGGGTATGTGTGTTTATGTGTGTCTGTGTATCTATGTATATGTGTCTCTATGTGTCTATGTGTGTGTATATCTCTGTGTGTATCTACATATCTGTGTCTATCTGTGTATGTGTGTGTCTGCATACATGTCTCTCTCTCTCTCTTTCTCTCTCTCTCTCTCTCTCTCTCTCTCTCTGTGTGTGTGTGTGTGTGTGTGTGTGTGTGTGTGTGTGTGTGTGTGTGTATGTATGGGTATGATTATTGAGGGCTGGAGGATGGGTCGCACCAGGCATGCTTCTAGAGATCCGTCTGTCTCCTGCTTCTATGAGCAAACTCCTCTGCAACCATCAAAACTTAGCCCACAGGTCACCACCTCCTTCTGTCTGCTGCTCTGCACCATGAACATCTCTGTAAATTTTCCTCAGTTAGAGGCACACCTCTGTGGCCATGTGAGTGCGTGTGACTCCTGTCCCACCACAGGGAAGTCATTCCAATGGAGCCATCGAGCATCTCTGTGGAGGCAGCAGCATCATTTCTGATGTCATGGAAGCCGTCCACGGCTCTTGGCTCTTTAGTCCATGCTGGAGAGTGGACGGAGGTACACTCCCACACATCCATTCTCTCCTGGCTGGGCACTCACACTACCTTGCCCACGGACTGGAACAAAGCCCTGTGAGCCTTGACTCCATCCTACGATGGGTGTGGACACACAGCCAGGCTCTCTCTTCAGCTGGTGGAAAGAGCTGGGATGTCAGTCCGGCGTGGATGGCTCCGCTTGAGAGAGTCACTTTCTGAGAGAGTCACCCCTCCCTGGTGGCCCATACGTAGTGATTAGTTGGGGTCGAAGGCAGGTCATTGTGGCCAGATATGGAACAAAGACAAAGGGACATCTTAGCGCCAGATGAGATGAGAGATATCAAGAGAGTCTCAAGGACTGGCTTGTGACGACATCAGTCTCGTTCCTCACTGCCGCTGTCCCCCTCCTGTCCTGCATGGACACGGCCTGCCACAACTTCTGGAGAACCAGTCTCCAAATCTATCTATCTATCTATCTATCTATCTATCTATCTATCTATCTATCTATCTAAACTTTGTTTAGCCTACAGTAACATATACAGTCTACAGTTGTTGCTTGAAATCTAATAGGTTTTTTAATAAAAAAACTTGGAGCCAGGTACTGGGGTAAATGTTGAAAGATCAGAGAGACAAAGGAACAAGCCACAGCTACTTCTCACCTCGCCTACTCCACGAATCCTCTGACTGAATGTCCCTGAGCCTTCAGCCCAAAAGCTCCAGTCAAAAGGCTTCAGCCGAAAAGGGCTCTAGTTCCTGTCTCCTCACGCCTTATACACCTTCCTCCACCCAGCCATATTACTGCCTTCTCAGAACTGGGATTGAAGGCGTGTGCCACCACTGCCTGGCTCTGTTTCTCTCCTAGGCTGAGTCAGTCTCCTGTAGTCCAGGGTGGCTTTGAACTCACAGAGATCCAGATGGATCTCTGCCTCGAGAGTGCTGGGATTAAAGGTGTGTGCCACCACTGCCTGGCCTCTGTGTTTGATCTAGTGGCTGGCTCTGTTCTCTGATCTTCAGGAAAATTTTATTAGGGTACACAATCTGTCACCACAACTTCACTCCCAGGAGTTTGGGACTCTGGTTGGGGCACTGAGTGACTAAGTGGAGGATAACCCCACCCCTGGCCAAGTGGCAGCTCTCCGCCTCTCTACTTCCCACTCTAAACAGGGATCCCCATGGAATGGCTCACGTCTTTACACCTGTCACCTCCGCGCTCGGCACCATTCCTGACATGCCGCAGATGCCAGAGGGCTGCTGGGTGCCCGGATCCCTCCGAGGAGGGAATGAGAGACAGGTGAGCTTCCCACACCCGTGTGTCAGGCCGTACACACAAACGCTTGATCGTCTGTGGCTCTGCTTGCTGGGAGGAGGAGGAAGGCTCCCAGAAGGACCCGGTGTGACTGGAGAGCTTTTCCTCGGCTTCCCTCTCCAAAGGCCTCTCTGCGCTGCTTGCTGCAAGACAAATGGGGACTCTGAACACAGCCAAGGCTGATATCATTAAAGATCTGTGCAGAAACGCTTGCGGGCCCGGTGACAGGTCTCGGCAGGCACCGGGTTGTGCGGGGTAAGCACAAATTGGTCCGGCAATTACGAGGACTGGAAGTCCCCCCTGGCCCAAGCTCAGCCTCCCCACTCAGCCTGAGGGGGCTGCTCCAGCTAAGACGAAGGTGCCAGAAGACATTCAGACCCTGGGACAACCTGCGGGCAAATGACTTCCCTGGGACATGGGGCTCCGCCAGGCTCAAGACTACCATGAGGTAGGGGGACAGTCCCTGTCCAATGAAACTTCAGCTGCGGCTGCAGCTCTCCACCCACAGGAACCTGACAAGGCTTCCTCCGGATTTCATTCTTGGTTCACGGGCAAAGGGCCTGAGTTTCAAATCCTGCCCCTGGCCAGCTGTGTGATCTTGAGAAAGCCACTCACCCTATCTGAGCCTCAGCTATTAACCCTGTGAAATGAGGCTCATAAAGCTTATTCTTAGAAGGAGGACTGATGTCAGCCTCTGACTTCCACGTCCACACAGGAGCTCCCAATATGGCTGAGAGGCCTCACCTGCCTTATTCCCAGCTGTCCCAGCCATTTCACACTGACCACCACACACCACACACACCACACACACACACCACACACACCACACACACCACACACACACACCACACACACACACCACACACACTCACCATACACACCACACACACACACCATACACATACCTTTACTTTTGGCCGAAAGCCACAGTCCACTGCGCAGGATTCGCATGTTCCCTGAGGCGTACCTGAAAAGCACAGAAGAGCCTGAGAAACAAACAGTTATCACCCAAGACATTTGCTGCTAACACTGGCCGCAGCCTGAGCCCGGGCTCCACTCTGTGTCCCCGCCTGCGGCACCAGTACAAACATCAGCGCTCTCTCCCCCACCCCCCGTCAGGTTGTAGGGCATATCATGACCTCTTCCTGTGTGGTGGGATATTTGATTTTTATCTCATTTCACAGCTGTATATTATTCCTTAGCCATTTTCCCAATACCAAGTTCTCTGCCCAAGTTTCATTGTTATAAATGATACCCTGGTGATGGTCTTCATGCCTAAATTGTGTGTGTGGTATGGTGTGTTTGTGTGTGGTGTGGTGTGTGTGTGGTGTATGTGTGGTGTGTGTAGTGTGTGTGGTATGTGTGTATGTGTGTGTGTGTGTGTATGTGTGTGGTATGTGTATGTACTATGTGTGTGTGGTGTGTGTGGTATGTGTGTATGTGGGATGTTCTGTATGGCAAATGTGTTGCTCTGATTGGTCAATAAATAAAACACTGATTGGCCATTGGCTAGGCAGGAAGTGTAGGCGGGACAAGGAGGAGAATAAAGCTGGGAAGTGGAAGGCTGAGTCAGAGAGACACTGCCAGCCACCACGATGACAAACAGCATGTGAAGATGCCAGTAAGCCACGAGCCATGTGGCAAGGTATAGATTTATAGAAATGGATTAATTTAAGCTGTAAGAACAGTTAGCAAGAAGCCTGCCACGGCCATACAGTTTGTAAGCAATATAAGTCTCTGTGTTTACTTGGTCGGGTCTGAGCGGCTGTGGGACTGGCAGGTGAGAGAGATTTGCCCTGACCGTGGTCCAGGCAGGAAAACTCTAGCTACATGTGTATGTACTATGTGTGTGTGTGTGTAGTGTGATCTGCTTGCCTGGGCACAGCAGGGTGTTTTCTTCTAACTTATGGTTTATACTTGTGGATGAACTGCAGTTTCCCTGCGCTGTCTGCCTCACCTACAGCCCTGTGTGGCGGCTGACCTACCTAGTGGGTCTTACTAAACTATAGAAATCAAAGTGAACTCAAGCTGGGCGTGGTGGTGCACACCTTAAATCCCAGCACACTAGATCTCTGCCAGTTCGAGGCCAGCCTGGTCTACGTGGTGACAAATTCAAGGGTAGCCAGGGTGACATAGTGAGACCCTGTCTCAAAATAAAAGCAAAACAGCAGAAGAAATAATCAAACAACAACAACAAAACCAACAAACAAAAAGTCCAAATGAACTCAAGCACTCCCCGCCCAACTGTTTCCCAACACAAGCTTGCTGGGAGACCCTGGAAAGATCTCTGCAGCTTTGTCAAAAAGTTAATAGGATAATTTTGGTTTCAAGTCACTTGAAAACTCAGCTTAAGACCAGAATTGAGAATGGAATGCTTCGCATGTGTGGTTTTGTTTTTTTGTTTTTTGTTTTTTTGTTTTTTGTTTTGTTTTTTTTTGCCTGCACATAAGTCTGCATCACATGTACCCCTGGTATCCTCGGAGGCCAGAAGAGGGCATCAGATCCCCTGGAACTGTAGTTGCAAACAGCTGTGAGATGCCATGTGGGTGCTGGGAATCAAACCTGGGTCCTCTGGAAGAGTGGTCAGTGCTCTTAACTGCTGAGCTGTCTCTCCAGGCCTGTGTGTAAGTGTTTAGCTTTGGGCTAATTTTGACCTGTAAGAACTGTAAGGAAGATGCAGCCCTACACTCAGCATCCCCTCCACCCCACTGTGTCCTCAGTGAGGACAGTGGCCCTGATTGCTCAGACATGAGGAAACTCCTCATTTCCCTTACAATGTCTGCATCCTCCCACCTCACCCCCCTGAAGACACCCAGTTCCCTTCTCTTAATTCCTAACATCATTCCAACGAAGTTCTGCAGATTCTGTGACCTGCAGTTGCCTGTCCTTCATGGACAGGAATTCTCTGCAACCCACTTTCCGCACAATGCACAGCAACCCACTTTCCCCACAATGCACAGCAGCCCACCTTCCCCCATGCACAGGAGCCCACCTTCCCCCAATGCACAGCAGCCCACCTTCCCCCGAGTACACAGCAGCCCGCCTTCCCCCAATGCACAGCAGCCCACCTTCCCCCCAATGCACAACAGCCTACCTTCCCCCCATGCACAGCAGCCTGCCTCCCCCCCAGTGCACAGCAGCCCACCTTCCCCACAATGCACAGCAGCCCATCTTCCCCCAGTGCACAGCAGCCCACCTTCTCCTCCCATGCACAGCAGCCCACCTTCCCCCCATGCACAGCAGCCTGCCTCCCCCCCAGTGCACAGCAGCCCACCTTCCCCAGTGCACAGCAGCCCACCTTCCCCAGTGCACAGCAGCCCACCTTCCCCCAATGCACAGCAGCCCACCTTCCCCCCAGTGCACAGCAACCCACCTTCCCCAATGCACAGCAGCCCACCTTCCCCCAATGCACAGCAGCCCACCTTCCCCCAGTGCACAGCAGCCCACCTTTCCCCAATGCACAGTAGCCCACCTTCCCCCCAGTGCACAGCAACCCACCTTCCCCAATGCACAGCAGCCCACCTTCCCCCAATGCACAGCAGCCTGCCTTTCCCCAATGTACAGCAGTCCACCTTCCCCCAGTGCACAGCAGCCCACCTTCCCCCAGTGCACAGCAGCCGACCTTCCCCCCAATGCACAGCAGCCCACCTTCCCCCCAGTGCACAGCAGCCCACCTTCCCCACATCCTTAGATGCCCACACACTGCACTGTTATGATCCCTTGTCTTAGGCATTCTAATGAAGGGTGGGGATGTCTCACTGGCTTTAATTAACATCTCCCAGTGTCCCACCACCTCGATATCCCTGCACACACTTCCTTCCCATCTATGATCCTCTCAGATCACCCACTTTGATGGAGAGCCCCTCCTGTAACAGGTGAGAGCTCCTGGGAAATGTGTTCAAGTCCAAGGGAATCATCCAAGCCTGGACCCAGAGCCCGTGTGTCCTCGTCATGGCCCAGACTCTGTCACCAAAGGCTCAGATGCCAGCGCTGCACAGGGCACGCAGAGGATGGTAAATGTCATCTGGAGAGGCTCAGTGCCTGGAGACCCACACTTGCTGTGTAATTAGGTCTAGAGCTGATATGACCGCAGCCCCAGATCATAATCGCTTTTTAATTATATTTACCTTGTCGGCGGAGAGCAGAGGTGCATTATTGGCTCTGGGAGGTAACAGTCCAAATCTTCCAAATCCAGAGAGGTGGGGCCCCAGGGAGGAGACGGGCAGACACACCAACTCAGGAGGAAAACAGAGAAATGAGCAGAGGCCGGGAGACAGTGAGCGGCCACTGACTGAGGCTGGATGCAGAGCGTCTGATGATTTGTGTCTTTAGTACTCGAGGAGGTGGGAAGGCCATGACCGTGGGCGAGGTGGGAAGGCCATGACCGTGGGCATTCCCGATGGACTTGACTGGATTTAGAGTCACCTAGGAGAGACTTCTCTGGTTCTGTCTGTGATGGTTTCCAGAGAGGTTTAACTGAAGGACAAAGACCCACCCTAAATGTGAGTGACTCTATTCTGTGGGCTGTGGTCCCAGGCTAGCCCACCATTATTCCCCTCTTTCTGCTTCCTACCATCATGCCTTCCCTGCCATGATGATGCACTTTTGGCTAAAAGCCAAACAAAACCTCACAGCAACCCACCTTCCCCCCAATGCACAGCAGCCCACCTTTCCCCCAATGCACAGCAACCCACCTTCCCCCCAGTGCACAGCAGCCCACCTCCCCCACATCCTTAGATGCCCACACACTGCACTGTTATGATCCCTTGTCTTAGGCATTCTAATGAAGGGTGGGGATGTCTCACTGGCTTTAATTAACATCTCCCTCCACCTTAAGCTCCTTCATGCCAGGGATTCGGTCACATCAATGAATGAAGTAACTAAATCCAGAGAGGAGTCACAGAGTTTCCTTCCTGGGTTCTGACTGTGCGGAGGACTCTGCTCAGCACTTCCTGTAGTTGTCAGCAGGAACTATGTTGGGGTAGCCATGGTTACAGCCATTCCCTGTTCATAGAAGAAATGGAAGCACAGGAAGGGCAAGTGTCTTTCCAAAGGCCACACAGCCAGGAAGAGCCAAACTTTTTGAACTTAGCTCTGCTAGACGCCAAAGCCCTTGCAGTGAGCCCCAGAAATGCACAAGGCTCTGACTTCCATTTGTGAATCTCCCGAGTTACACTCCAGCACTGTCTAGGTTAGATTTCCTTGTCAACTTGACACAAACTAGAGTCATTTGGGAAGAGGGAACCATAATTAAGAAAATACCCTCACCAGACTGGCCTGGGGGCAAGTCTGTGGAGGGTTTTCTTGATTAGTAATTGATGGGGAGGGCCCAGTCCATTGAGGGCTGGTGGTCCTGGGTTCTATAAGAAAGCAGGCTGAGCAAGCCATGGGGAACAAGTCAGTAAGCAGCACCCCTCCATGGCCTCTGCATCAGCTCCAGCCTCCCGGTTCCTGCCCTGTGTGAGTTCCTATCCTGCCCTCCAACGATGGACTTGAAACTGTAAGATGAGGTAAACCCTTTCATGCCCATGGTGCTTTTGATCATGGTGTTTTTCACAGCAATAGAAACCCTAAGAGAAGCACATTCCTGGCCCCTTCTGCTCACCCACTGGTTCCAGAAGTACCGTTGTAAACAGGTCCTTTAACATTGTCTTCTGGAGCCTTCCACGGGCTTCTCCTGTTGCCTCTGTGGGTAGCAACATGCAGAGCCCCTCAGTAGCAAGCTCTCAGCCCAGAGTGTCCTTCAGTGGTGATGCTGACGATGGGAAGGAAGGAGCTGGACATTTATCGAGCTCTTACTGTATACTGGACACTGTCCCATCCTTCACAGGGTTTCAGTGATTTTGGGAGCATGGTATCTGGATTAGCCCCATCACCTGGATGAGATGCAAATTAAACATGCAAACTCTCGGGTTCCCACCTGGCCATGTATCTACAGAATCTGGTGCTGATGGTGGGGCCTGGTGACCTGTGCTACATATAACATGACCTCTACATGATGCGGATGCTGGCTCGGTCTTGAGCATCGCTATGGCAGCCTAGCTAAGCCCACTCTCAGCTTTGCGTGGATGGGACACCACAGTCTCACTTTATAGCAGGAAGCTGGGGCTCAGAGAGGGGAGGCCCAGTGATCGAAGTTACATGAATGATACGGAGCTGAGAGAACCCATCATTTCCTGGCCTCAAACTAGGCTGCAACTCTCTGCTTGTTGGGTTTGAAATCCAAAGAGCATGGCTACATCCTGAAGCCTGGTTCACTTGCAGGAGACCTCAGTGTGATTGACAGCTTGGCTGCCATCATGTTTTTTGTGTTGGCCTGGCCTGTGCACAGAAGGGAATGCAATATTGTTCTTGGATTCTCCCCTGTAGATTCCATTAGGTCCACTCTGCTCATGGCCCAAGATGTCTCTAAAATCACTGAATGCCCCTTCATGGATAAAATTATCCCATTTCAAACACTCACCCATCCTCTCCAGGAAGGAAGGAGACATCTGGGTCTCAACTCTCACTGACTGAGTTCACTGCATACAGACTCTTGGGTGGCTCTGGGTGAGTGACTTTCACTCTCACTTGACATTGCTTGGCCTTCACTTTCTCACTTGTAAAATAGGAAAGGGCAGGCTAGGGTCCAGGCATCTCACTCACCCCTCCCTAGAAGAGTCTATGCATCTCCAGAAAATGGGGGAGTTCCTGCTCATTTTCCAGACCCACCTTGGCTTCCTCTTTATTCACAAAGCTCCGCAATCCTCCTCTCCTTTGCTCACCCGATATGTTTTCTGAGTGCCATTCAGGTGACCTCTGTAGGTGAGCCCTGTCACTGCTGTTCTGCATGTTTCCCCTCCTATCACTTGTTTCTTTAGAATGTCCTTTAGAAATTTCAGTCCACCCATCCATCACCCATCCATCCATCCACCCATCCATCCATCATCCACCATCCATCATCCATCCATCCATCCATTATCTATCCATCCATCCATCCAACCATCCATCCATCATCCATCCATCCATCTAACTATCACTCATCCATCCATCATTCATCCATCCATCCATCCATCTATCCATTCATTTATTCATTATCCATCCATCATTCATCCATTTATCATCCATTCATCATCCATCCATCCATCCATCCACCCAAACATCTATCTTCCCATCCGTCCATCCCCTCTAGCCACCTACCCACTCATCCATTTGTTCACCAATTTATCAACATGTTCACTCATTTTCTGAACCAGAAAGCGTCTATTGGCTTTTGTCCTATGATTGTTAATTTTCTTCTACCGTGGCAAGCTCTGGTGAGCTTGTGTTTAAATGTTGCTGTGAATGCATTATTTCCACATTAACACCGGAATAAAGCAGGTCACCCCATAGCACGGGCAGTGGGCCTTATCTAATTAATTAGCAGCCTTAAGGGGGAAAAGTGGAAACTCGGCCTCCAAATTGCCTCTGACCCCAGAGCAGGTTAACTCTACCCCATCGCCAGCTTTGGGACTCTTTAACTTCCTCTTCATTGGTCAGTTCCTTTCCACCGTGCCTCTTTCTTCTCGTGGCTTGGTTTTCCTCCATTTGTGTTGCTTGTGGTCGACTGCAAGCAGGTAATACTATCAAATGGGAAGTTCTAGAAATAAACAGCTCATGTATCTTAAACCGTAAGTCATCCGGGAGGTGAGGTGAGCCATGCTCTGCCTGGCCGGATGTGGGTCCCACCTTTGGCCTGGCATACTTGCACCGTCTCCATGCCCACTGGTAGTGCTTGCCGCCATCTTGGTTGTCCGGTCTGCCGCTGTGTGTGGAGGGAGGGCAGGCCACCTCCACTCAGCTCTATAAACCTTTTAAATCTATTTATTGTTGCTGACCTGTCACTGCAGCTAATTTGTGGATTCAACTTTATCATCAAAGATACGTGTGTACAGGGGAGAGGGGGTTGTGTATAGGTGCTCCCCAAAGACTCTGAGAATGTGCCCCCCCACAGATACGGTTTGAGCTGGATGACCCAGGTATGGACAGTCACACATCCTACTGCTTCTAATCACCTGAGTAATAAATTTGTAAGTAGCTCAGAGGTCTTCGGTTTCTTGAAGTTTCCTCTGCCTCTTGGAGAAAACTGGGAAATAAATTTAAAAAAAAATCAACACATACTAGGTTGGTACAGAAGATACACAGAGCAAAACCCAAAGCCACTTAGGTCCCCCAAATATTTAGTGGATGAACTGACCACCAGCCCAAATGCCTCCTTCCATTTCCCTACTGAAATAGAATTGGGGGGAGCTTGGATGGTGTCCGATTGAGGCGAGGAGACAGTGAGGAGACAGTTCACTGGATCTGTGGGAACTTGAACTCCAGATCCTCCTGCTTCTATCCCCCAAGTGCAGGCTGGATCACAGGTGTATGTACCAGACCTTGTCTTATATGGTGCTGGGGAATGAAACCCAGGGCTTCCACGTGTTAGACAGGCAGGCTAGCAACTGAGCCGCACTCCAGCCTCACGGCAGGAAGTTTGAAACCAGATCAGGAGAGTCCCCTTGATCATTTCATTGTATTCTTGGTTCTTCAGTGGCATTGCCTAGAAATGGTGACCAAACACCATCCCAGGCCTGGCGTGAAGATTTGGATGGTGCCAATGGTCCGGGAGGACCCTGGATGAAGTGGGTGTTCAGCGATAGCAATGGTTTCTCTTCTGTGCCACTGAAGTTGGCTCATCGATAAAAGATCCCAACTGTAAGAGAACCAATGTCCTTAGTTCATGGGAATCTCATTTATTTTCACAAATGGAACCAGGGTGTGTGTGTTAGGGAGAGGTAGTGTGGGTGCACTGGCTGCTGTTTCTCGCAGAGGTCTAGGCTGTGACGGAGGGTCTTCCCTAGTGAAGACCTCACAGTGACTGTCACCCGCCACCCGTGAAAAGCAGCTCACAGTGAACTCCCACAACGACGACGAGCCTGCCTGCCCCCATGCCCTTGGCACACACCCCCATCTGCAGTTGACAAGAGGTGACAGCTCCACCGCTCAGCCTTTTATTCCAACAGTGAATTTCCAGCAAACGGGGGTGTGTATATAATTATAAGAGATGTCGGATCTTGACATACAAACAAACCGTCTCCAACCCCAGTCGTCTCTAAGGGGTGGCAGCCGAGGAGGGAGCCGGGGGCTGTGCTGACATGTCATGGGTGATTAGGGGAGGCATGCCGCTCCGTGCACTAGGGAGCGTGCGGCGTAAAAAAAAAAAAAAGAAATGGAGGCAGAATTTAATAGCGCAGGTTATGTTTTTAATTACCTCGGCAAATGAGCCGTTCTTGAGCGTGAGCGGAGCTATTGGAGAAGCCACCCCCAGCATTCCCAGGCTGCCTCTGCGTCACCAGAGTTTCCAAATTGGATGGGCTTGCCAGAGTGTCCCCTTCCCAGGAAATCCCCCACCCATCCATCTCTCGGACAGTCAGGTTGTTAATGGCAGGTTCACGGGCACAGAGACTAGAGATGAACTGATTGGACTTGAAGCTGGCATCATCGGTTA